TGACAGATAGCCTCTAGATAGAGTATTCTTTTACTTTGCGGTATTTATAAAATAGCATAAATCAATGAGACCAAACAGCAAAAGGCAGTAGTTTATTTAAAGATTTTTTTTTTCCCTTGCTAGGTATTCAGCAACTAAGAATCTATTGAAATTCAGAGCGTCCAGCCATGTCTACTTAAATATCCTGACTCTGTACAAAAGATCCCAAACCACAGGCGTGGCCGCTCCCAGGGAAAGGAACACAGGGATGACCTGATGGGACGGATGCTGCTTGCCCTCAGCCAAATGTCATAACCCAGCCACACAGTCATAGGAGGATTGTGTTAAGTTGTTTTAGAAAAGTAGGCTCTATGCAAGAACTTATGATTCTGCTGATCCTAAGGGGTTTTTTTTCCACTCAAGAAAAGCTCCAAAGCAAGACAGACCAATGATAGTTCCAGGCAACACTTGGATTTTGCCTTTTCAGGAAAATGGAGGCCTTTGCTTGCTCTCTCTTGCCCACAGATTCATCTGAACTGAGTCTCAGTTACCAGCTTTCATTTGCAAAGACCTCATATCCCAGAGAACTTCTGCAGAGAATTTGCCAAGCACCTCCCTGTCTGTTTTGTGTGTGTGTGTCATCATCCCTCCTCGCATTCTGTATGTGGTGCCCAAAGTTTTTTTTTTTTTTTTTTTTCAGAATGTAGGTCACGCTGCTTATTTAAAAATGAAAGTGAGAGAGACAGGGAGGCCACGCCAAATTTAGAATTGAAGGAGGGCTCTGTGATTTATAGGTACCAAGGGTGTATAGGGGTGGTTTCTGGGAGTCCACAGGTGACGCTTACCTTAAAAAAATAAAAACAACAACAACAAATCAAATAAAATAAAAATAAAAACAAAAAACATACAGAAGGGCTTATACACATGCTTACAGAACACTCAAAACAGAAGAATCAGTGTTTGTCATGGATGGAACTCATAGAATAATTTAAACCCAGTAGAATTTAGTGCCTCATTATTTAGGCCCAGAAAATGGACTTCACACGTATCCTGGCCAACTCAGAAGTAGTTCAATACAAATATCTAAAGCAAGGATCTAGATTTCTTGGTGTCTTTAGAGTCCACTTGAATAAATTGATGCAGTTTGGTCTCCCTGGGGATCTGAGCTGAGTATTAGCAGAGTTTTGCTTTTTTCCCAAGCTAGGCAGTGCAGGCTTCCCTGAGTCTGAGTCTCCATGGGTTTCAGCCGCTTGTCCTAGTGAAAGTCCTATTGCTGTGATTCCAGGAGAGGGGGAGGAAGGAGATACAAGACAGCCCCACAGCAGTCCTGGTCCATTTTTCTTATCAAGGTCACTCAGCCACAGTGTCTCACAGGGATTTCCAGGCCCAAAGTAAGTCTCTTGTGTTTGTTTTACAAAACTGTGGCATTTCCTCAAGTCCCCAGAAAATATGTGCTTTCCACAGAGACCCACTCCATCAAATGTCAAGTACAAGTACGAGCTGGACTCATCAGCACATCCCTGTTTCCTTACTAGACTGTGTTCCCCGCTTGCTGTTCAGTTGACAAATCATTTATTTTCACACATGCAGAAGAAGTCCGGAGATAGGCCATCCAGGGCTGTCCTTTTTCCTACTTTTCTGACGTCCCTTGTAAGGGGTGTCCTTGATTCCCTCTCTCTCTGGATGGTTGCAGGACTTGCAGCTATAGAGAGTTTGAGATCTAGGGAGGAAGGTTGGATGCAGGGAGTCAAGGGGCGTATGCCAGCTGACTCAAACCCAGTGGGAGAGCTTTCTTAAAGGTCACAGCCAGAGAGCTCTGCTGTCATCTTGTGGGCCAGACCCATGCCACTAAAGTGTCCCCCCACCCCACCTGCCACCCCTACCTGAGAAGCTTCATTTTTTATTTATTTATGTATTTATTTATTTATTTATTTATTTATTTATTTATTTATTTATTTATTTATTTTGGTCTTGCACATCATTGTCCCAATTGGGAATCGGTTATTTAGGATGATGCAAAGCACGAGATATTCGATGATATGGAAATTAAAAGCATCCACCCAACTGTTTTGCTGTGGGGACTCTCTGTGTGTGTGCAAAGCACCCAAGAGTGCTTGATGAACTAGTGGAAGCATTTCCTTCTCTCTCCTGGTGCTCCCTCCCTCTTTGAGGGCCCAGTCACAGGGGGAGCACACGTACCTTGATGCCACAATGCGTTTCCCTACCTAATTAAGTCCACTGAATAATTTCATCTGCAGAGAGGGAAATAGCTGCCATAAGAAAATAAATACTCGGCCTACTTCTCATCATGGACAGAGCGTTCGAAACCAGAAATGCCGTGTTGCGTGGAGGCTTCTTGCAAAGCTCACAGAAACACAACTGTTAATTCAGATATAGCTGTTCTACAAGCTGCTAAAAACTCATAAAAATGCTTTGTAATTCTGCCTACGTTCTAATCCTGTGAGGCCGCAGTCTCATTTTTTGCTGCCCTGTACCCAATGCTGACCACATCGACGGCTTACGCTAATCTGAGATAGAGGCCAATGCACACAATCTCTGCATCACTTTAAGATCTTTATTATTAATAACTCATCGAGGTGTCAAAGTGTGTTATAAATCTAAACAGAAAATCAGAATTACGTGTTACGTGGGAACTCGGGTTTTACATTCTACTCCGGGTCATAAGATTTGATGGTGGAAGCACATAGCACAGTGAAATGTCTTTATTGGATATTGACGCTTCTATTCTGATACTAACAAAACCAGAATTATGGATTAGCAGAGTCCAGCAAGCAAAGCAAAGTCAAATGAACCTAGGTGTGTGTGTAACAAACTTAGAAAGTCAGGGGAAAGGCACGTAGGTCCGTTGTACTGGTGGCGGATTTCTACTTGGTAGACTGTGGTACTCTAATTTAGCTGAGTAATTGCTGTTACAGAATCCAAATCTACAACGCATGTGTAATTTTAAAAATGGGTTTTACATTTCTGAAGCAAGACAGAAAAAAAAAATAAATGCATTCTTTAGATCTCTGACATTAAGCTTCAGGACAGTTTTACAGCCTGGGACCCGAACAAATCTCTTACCCATAAAACGACAGGAATAAAAGATTTGCACACGTGCATTTTTAAAAAAGTAACTTCATTGCTCAGAGTCAAAAGAAAAAAAGAGAGAAAGGGAGGGGGGAAGGAAGGGAGGATGGAAAAAAGAAAAGAAAGAAGAAAAAAGAAAAACCCTTCACATACCTACATATTCTACTTTGATTGGTAATCCCAGACTCTGTGATTCAGTTCAATTTGCTTGTGTGCTTTCATTTAAATGGAGGGGGGGGGGAGCCTTTCCAGAAACAGCAAAAAACGATTTGTATGTACATATATTTAAATAAAATAAACAAAGGAAAAACTGTGGTGTATATTTATTGCCAGCTCAGCAACAATGTAAAAAAAAAATGGGTATAGAAACATATAATTCTGAATGAAACTAAAAAGTAAGGAAACCTATAATTCTGAATGAAGCTAATAACTGTTCAATTTATAAAGCTTAAAGTTTATAAAGCTTTAAGCCAGATCATAGGGGTTCTGGCTTAAAGTCATCACGATTAACATCTTTTAACACAGAAATAGAACATACAAATATATCCCCTAAAATTTAAGCAATTCCATAACACTTAGCTTATCCGTTTAACAAATGTGCATAAGAATCACCTTAATTATATTTCACAGAATCTGCCATTTGAATGATTGTTCCAAGGTCAATGGGAGAGTTTCTTAAAATCTAGAATTCAAGTCATTGATGTCTTGTAAAGTGACCAAGACAGGAAACATACACAACTGCTTCTGGGCACAAATAAATGTCTTCCCTTTGCTGTTTCCCTCATTACTCTCCCCTCCTCAAAAAATAAAAAATAGCCAGCAACAGCTGCCCTCTTTCAGGACACAGCACAGGTTTTCTCTCCAACGGTCTGAGAATGTTTACCACTGCCATCTATTCCCTCATTCTGTCTCTGTGATCCTATTTCTTCATGTTGTCTTTGGAAAAGATGGGAGGTGGGCATATAGGAAAGCCCCTTGCCGGAGAAATTAGAAATGTCATTGTTGCCTTATTTCTGCTCTTCCCTAGAAAGCCACCTGCTGCAGTCAACCAGGGCATTTAGGAGAGAAATATTATTCTGAATAGTGTCAACTTTTCTTCTGCCTTTCGGCTCAGGAAAAAACTAAACAAAACATCACAACTTCTAGCACTCATCCATCATTACCTGCGCAAGTGGCAGGTGTCTACTTTTTACAGCCACTGCCTTTTTCTGCTGATACCAAGACACCGTGAGGGGCAAACATCGAACCTGCCAGGTGATTTCAGTTAAATATCTCAATGTTACAATCTGCTGGATGCCTATGTGGCATATCTTGGTTAGATGACATGATGTTTTTCTAGGACGCTACCCTCAGCGTTGATACATTTAAAAATCCGTTAACCATGCTGGCGGCCTGTCTTCCTATTTTTATGTATTCCAGTATCCTACCTTTATTCTCTGTTACTGCATATGACGCTTCCAATTTTGAAGATCCAAGTGTGTGATATAATAAAAAGAGATGAAATTCAAATTAATTGGGCTCTTAATAGCATCCTTAATACAAAATTTGCTGGCAAAAAAAAAAAAAGCTTAAACAATTGGATTCTATGTAATTTTTAGATAATCTTTTATCAGATTTAACTTGTTCTTTTTTAAAAAAAAAAAGATTTTATGTATTTATTCATGAGAGACACACACAGAGAGAGAGAGTTAGAGATATAGGCAGAGGGAGAAGCAGGTCCCTGCAGGGAGCCCTGATGTGGGACTTGATCCCGGAACCCCAGGATCACACCCAGAGCCAAAGGCAGATGCTCAACCACTGAGCCACCCAGGCATCCCAGATTTAACCTGTTCTTACCCTTTGTCACCATAGAACATAGCTGTAACATTCCTTAAAAGGCCTGTTTATGACTACTTGCCTTAGGGTGAAGAGTAACATGATGGAGTGGTAGCCCCTGTCATCACAACTTGAACTACATTTGGGATTCAACGGAGATTCTATTTAGAGTCAAGACAGCTTTCTGATAAGGGGCTTCCTTACACTCATCCGTGGCAGACGTGGGGGTCTCCTCAGGGTTTTCACAACTGCTGACAATGGCAACCGCACTAAACGACCTTCTTCTGACCGTGGTGTCCGATGTGTCAGATCCTCGGACTGGGGGGGCTTTTTCCATGTTGTGGAGCTGCTGGTCTTTCCAGTCCAGTTGCTTGGCACTGCAAAAGGGAGCATAAACTTCAACGCTCCCCTCAAACTGTAAGCAGTTCACTTTGTAATACTTTCTCTTAACTTCCAGGACGTCATTAAACCTATGGCCCCAGAGAATTTCTCGGGGAACATAGGAGCTTCTGGACTGGTGGGAAGTCCCCGTGGAATCACCAGTATAGATAAATGTCACCAAAATCTCAAAGTTGTCTTTGGCCACTGCTTTTCGGTCAAGGGCATACAGAGGGCTCTCGTGGTCAATCTCATGAACGATAGTTACTGGTGTGACAAGGATGATCTGGTCATTGACCAACTTGAGGTCCTTAAATGCCATTGTCATCCGCCCTTCACTGTCTTCTGTGTAGCGGAGAAGTTGGGCTCTCACTGTGCCTTCCACCACGTGGTTGGGTCGGAAATCACCAATGCGCCACATGAGGCAAAGCTTCCCATCTCTCATGCCTATGAGTGCAAAATAGCTAAACCGAATGGTTTGGGCTCTCTTTCGAGCAGTTGCCATTTTAGCCAAGGCAGCTCCAATGATGAAGGTGTTTATGATGCAGCTCAGGATGGACTGAAGGATCACCATGAGCACTGCCATGGAGCATTCTTCGGTGACACAGCGGTAACCATAACCTATGGTGGTCTGGGTCTCAAGGGAGAATAAGAACGCCCCCGTGAAGGAATGGACATTGTCAACACAAGGCGTGATGTCCGGATCATTTAACAGATCACCATGATGAAAGGCAATTAGCCAAAAGATAGAGCCAAATATCAACCAGGAGAGAATATAAGATAAAGAGAAAATCACAAACATATGGCGCCACTTGGTGTCTACAAGAGTAGTGAAAATGTCCACCACGTAGCTCCCCCATTCTCCAAAAATGTGCTTGAAGTACACATTGCAGCTACCATCTTTGTGGAGCAGACGTCTCCTGGCTCTTCTCTTCTCCGCTATGATGTGCTCTGGGGGGTAGCCCGGGTATTTGGGGTCCACATTTACGATCGGATAGCTGCTGCCGTAATAGCTCATTCTTTCCTCTGCCCTCCAAGCACCCAGGTGGATTTTGCAATAGTAATAGTTCTGTCACTATTTGTTGCTTTAAGTTTTCAGTTAGAACCTGAAAAAAGAAAAAAAAAAAAGAAAAGAAAATTAAATAGGCTTCAGCTTTCGCTTTTGATTTCCATCCTTAGAGCAATTTGCCAAATTTGAAGCAATTTCATGCCATCTGAAATGGCGAAGACCTCATTTGAACGACAGAGACATTCAGTATTGATTACTCATTTCAGTTTAGAATTCAACTCAGTCATTATAGGAGCAAAATATGCAATTAGAGAAAATAACATTTTTATATATGCAAAAGGCTTGGGTAAACACTATGATTATCCTAAATGGAGCCTCACTACCTTTTCTGACCTGACATAAACAAAAGTCGTATTTTTATAGACTCTTCTGGCATGAGGGCTCCTAGAACACAAAGCAATCTATAACGTAAAACGGCAAAATAGATTTCAGATATTTGTCTAGCTGGGTAATAAGGCTTCTAACTGTTGAAGTCAGAGGGTTTTTCTAAGAAGGATGCTATGAAGCGTCGCTACCTTTATGCTACTTGTTAACTTACATCCTGGTTGTCGCAGACCCTCCCCTTCGGCGCCTGATGCCTCTCTCTCTTCCCTGGAGGTTTCTCTTCCTGTTGTACTTCCCAGGACAGAGCAGAACTGACTGCGACACTATTTCAGATTCAAGTCCTTTCCCCTAGCTCCTTTAGTTTTAAGAGGGAAAAAAAAAAATGTTCTTAACCCCAGAGGAGTTAAAACCACGCCCAGGTAAGCTTTCAATAAGGTATAAGATTGCTTTTGCTTTTGTCTCATGACATGCATCCTTTTTCTTTCTTTCTTTTTTCTTTTTTCTTTCTTTTTTTTTTTTTTTTGGACACTGCCATCTCTTCTCTTTCCCTCTGAATAGAAGCCGAAAATTTGCCAAAGTTCTAATCTTGTTTCCCTCTTAAAGGGAGCATACTACAATTGGACCCTTCTCTCCAGCTCTGCAGCGTATCCCTGATGCTTTCACAGCCATCCGTAGGCAAAATCATTTTTTCCCCCTCCAAATTCAATCTTTAAAAGATCAAGGTAGAACATAGAGTTCTTATTGCTTTTTATCATCCAGGGAATAGGGCAGTGGTTTTTCCCAGCTCAAGTCTGAAAGTAAGTTTTCAATATTCGATGTTAAAGGTGGTCCTTAGTTACTTCTATGCAAACAAACAAACAAACAAAAAAAAACCCAAAAAATAAAAAAACAACTCACTGCAGCCCAATTTAATGCTTTGATCATTATTAGAATATGCTTTCCACAGAACCTGCCTGTGCTAGACGGGGGAAGAGGGGACGAGGGGGAGAAAAAAAGACTTCCCATTAGAGAATCCAGCCACGGCTGCATAGACATTGCAGTGAGAATAAATACGGTTGCTGACATTGAGACCCACCTCCCCTGAAACTGGACAGAGGAAATCAATCACAAAGCACTTATCCAACACCTTCCCCGAAAAAGGGAAGAAAGAGTTAATTTCTTTCCAGTCAAATAGGAATCATTTTTCTTCTTCTCCAGGGATCAGGCCCACTTGACAATAAACACTTTGTTTGGTGGACCACTGCAAGGATGAACTCTGCTTTCAGCCAAAAAATCCTGTAAGGCATGTAGGAGTTTCTCTCTGTCCATCCATACGCCCACCCGGCCACTCTGTTGGCTCATCCTCCAGGTCTGCTTTGAGCAGTTCCATCCCCTCCTTCATCCTCAACCGGGTTTTGGGGGGTGGTGGGGGACAGTTGTATAATTTCAGGATGTGACCCAGGGCTGACAAAATGCTTACCGGAACACTGAATGTGAAATGTTCCCACAACTTTTGCCCACGACATATACCATTTCTTGGAGGTTCCTGTCTGATTTGTCATCGAGCAACACTTGACAAAGCACAAGAAGCTGCTCGAGGTCTCTGGGTCTTCATTCTCTCACCTGATCGCTGGAGGCATGAGAATGGGACCGATTATTAATCCAAGGCCCAGAGGATTTCAAATTAAAAAGTAGATTTAGAGAGAGAATTGTTTCCTTGTTGAAAGCTTCCAGCCTGGTTCCTTAAAGGGAACGGCACGGACTGGGAGCCTGAGGATAAGAAAGCATGGTTCATAAATCAAGAGCTACTGTGTGACTCTGCTCTTTTCTGCTGCCAAAAGAAAAAAGAAAGGTTTTTATTTGAAATGGCACGTGGTGTGAATTCCAGCAGTGCCAACAACTGTTATAAACAAGCCATTGTATTTTATTTTATTTTTTAAGGTTTTTTTTGTAAACAAGCCATTTAAAAAAAAAAAAAAAAAAAAAAAAAAAAAAAAACACCTTCCCCAGTAGGCTAATTGGAGAATGAATTTTCAACTAATGCAAGCTGTAAGTGAGCACATTTGAGAATGTGGAAAGTTCTTTTTTTTTTTTTTTTTTTTTTTTTTTTATTTACGATAGTCATACAGAGAGAGAGAGAGGCAGAGACACAGGCAGAGGGAGAAGCAGGCTCCATGCACCGGGAGCCCGACGTGGGATTCGATCCCGGGTCTCCAGGATCGCGCCCTGGGCCAAAGGCAGGCGCCAAACCGCTGTGCCACCCAGGGATCCCTGGAAAGTTCATTTCTGAATAGTGTTATAGTTTCAGGGATACAAGTCACGGCTGTGAGAATCCTGCCCGAACCCCACAGGCCCTGTGTCCCCACCACAGGCCATCATGTTGAATTGATCATCCATTTCTACTTATGCCTGTCATTTAATTTCAATTCATCAATAAGCCTTCAGATTCTGTTCAGGTGCATACACTTTATCCTTTCCTTCGTTCTCCAACCATGTAAATGATAAATTTTCTAAAAGATGATATTTTTTTAAGCTAAATGTCAGATTGTAACCAAACTAGTCATATTGAGTCTTAACCACATCTCAGATTATTACTCAATGAGCAAATCATGTGATGGATGCTCTTTTGCCAAAATGACTAGACAAAATTTTTATTAACCTCTTGTTACATGCGTTGTGTTAATCTGAGCACTTTTCCCCTTTTTTGCCATTAAATAATGGAGGATGAGCCTTGCTGGCTGACTGGATATTCTGTGTGTAACATTGGTGTTCCTTAGGATTAAAACCGGGTTTTCAAAGTGCCTCCGTGCTTCATAATCACCTTGTCATCGTCCATTCCCTTATGAGAAAACATTTGTAATGTTTCTACTTCTATATATATTTTTTTGTGCATGTTGCTCTCCTTGTTCTCCAGAAACTGATGGTGGCTATTTTGTTAGCAGTAAAATTCCCTCTTTTATTAAAAATGGGAATTTGAGCACTGCACTGACAAGATTGTAGAATATCATGTGCCCAAGGAAATGTTGAATCTGCAGTCCCTCTTCTGTACCAGTTTCAAACTGTTTTGCCAGGTGGTTAATTAATGACAAAGACAGAAAAAAGAAGGCAATTTCTTTGTTGTGACATGGAGTTCCGATATAGATGTGGCAAGAGTGAGAGGCAAGGCAGGGTCAGGATGGTGGGTCGTTTCCTGAGGATGCCATCGAAGTCACTACAATGTACTCCCCCCACCCCACAGATACGGCCCAAAGAGAGCAAGTTAGAGGGATCAGCAAACTGGACCCTGACAGTGACTGTTCTCATACCTTACTCATTGTATTAAGTTTAGACATTTAAGAAAAAAAAAAAAAGCTGTCTAATCCACTTTCACTAGTGAGACCTGCTTTCCTACTTTTAGTACTCAGGGTTCTGGATCTTTGCATGAATTCAAGGAGAAACCTTTACTGATTTAGACTATTTCAAATGGGCTATGCACACGGGCTGCACATGGGACGTGGAATAAGCTCAGCAAAACCAGTGAGCATCCCGCATATCTGTCCCCATTTCTCAATACATAGAAGTGCCTCAGTCAGACTCCCGCATCCTTTTTTTTTTTAAGACTTTATTTATTCATGAGAGACACACAGAGAGAGGCAGAGACACAGGCAGAGGGAGAAGCAGGCTCCACATAGGGAGCCCGATGTGGGACTTGATCCCGGGTCTCCAGGATCATGCCCTGGGCCCAAGGCAGGCGCTAAACTGCTGAGCCACCCGGGCTGCCCAGACTCTCCCATCCTGAAGCAATCCCTCTGTCATTTTGCTTTATCCTCTCAAACTTGGCTATTTACTCTTGTAGACAGTTAGTTCTTAAAAAAAAAAAAAGACAGTTCTTCAAACTTACACATTTCATTAGTGTGTTGAAGGGACAACAGAATGGTTACAACTTCATGATCCCATGTCACTTTAAAGGTAAAATTCGATCCTGTCTCCAGCATCTGCTTAATATAAATACATTAAGAGTGATACAAATTGTCTTTGTATAATTTGGGACACACCACAAATAACGCTCTAAATATCTTTGGCGCAATTCAAGGATAATTGAATGCGGATGCCTGTGGCCTGCTGGTATTAACACGTACGTACCTTCTTTAGCATGTATATGATTTACAGAAAGTCACTGGAAATCAAGTTACTTTCCTGGTGACTGTTAGATGAGATAAATTTTCGTGGACACATGAGAGCTGACGAGGCAGAGAGTAGAAAGGATGCCCTAGATTCTGTGTGCAGGTCATTGTCTTTGAGCACTGGCTTGGCTGCAGCTCAATGGTGTGTGGAGGGGCCAGAGCGGCCGGGGACGGGGGGGCAGGCAGGCTGTGAGGGAAGGTGCAGTCAGACAGCACTCGTGGGTGGGCCCTGGTTGCTACGGACGAAAGAAAGAGGGGTGTTAATGGGACAGGACAGAACCCAAACAAGTTAGGTTATTTTGCTTGAACTCTGTCCCACAACTTGTTGCCTTGGAATTATGGCTGAGCTGTGTCTTGTCTGGAATCCTCATAAGACATTCAGGCACAGTTAGGTGGAGCTCTTCATTCAACCACTCAACACCTGCTTCACTCAGAAACCACTAGATACTGCCCAGACTTCTCCAGAGAGTCCCTGTCTCTCGAATTGCAAACAGTTTCTCCTTTGTCGACATTCTATGGCGTTCTCCTGTTTCTTCTCAGCTGCTATCATCCCCAGAGCAGGTCTCCAGTTGAGTTGCAGCCCTTGACCTCTCCATTCCCTTTTCCTGCCCGACCCTAGCCTGCAACCCTGGTCCAACTTCTTGGTGACAGAGGACTTTACCTCTTTCCTGATAGAACTCTACAATTTCTCCTGAATCAATTTAAGAAACGTTTTGTGCTGGGTGCCTGGGTGGCTTAGTGGGTTAAGTGTCTGACTCTTGATTTCGGCTCAGGTCACGACCTCAGGGTTGTGAGATTGAGCCCCACTTTGGGCTCCAAGGTAGGTGTGGACCCTGTTTAAGATTTTTTTTCTCTCTCTCTTTCTCCCCCCTGCCCCTCCTCTTTCTCTCTCCCTAATTAAAAAAAAAAATAGTTTTGTGCCAGTTTGTGTAGGAAAAAAGGCTCTCTACTAGGCTATGTGCAAACAACTGAATGGAATCCAGAGCTGGGAGGGAGAAGCAGAGATCTGGCATTAAACATTGCTAGTAACTTTATCTGGAGAGCCTCTTTCTAGCCCATTTTTTTCTTAAGTAATATCTATATCCTAATCATAAATCCTGCAGCATCCCAAATGATGCTGTGTTTTATAAAGAAGTAGGAAAAATTCAGAGTCTGGGATTATGTTTCCCCACTTTCTGGATATCAAGATCATACCAGAATAATAAGAATTATAATTCCAAATTAGCCTGCCTTAAAAACAAATTGCCTTAATAAACAGTAGTCTGAAATAAAATGGTGGGTTTTTTGTTGTTGTTGTTGTTGTTTTTTGTTTTTTGTTTTGGTGTTGCAGAGAAATCCTGAATTGGGAGGCCGACTCCAGTTCCAGGTCTGTCTCCAACGTCCTGAGTGGCTTGGGAACACGACTTTTCTCTGAACCTCAGCGTCCTCATGCATGATACGGGGATAAGAACACCTATGCTACTGGGTAACTGTGCGTCTGAGTGAGATAAGGAATGGGAAGCGTCTTTCACTGTGCCAAGCTCGTCATAATTATTCGGTAATTGTTGCATGAATCTGAATCCTATGAGGGCTCAGTTTCCCCCTCTGCAAAATATCAGAGCACTTGCTTGAACCCTGCCAAAGAGCTTCCACTTGCATGCCAGAAGTGTCAACAATGTGGCTCCCAGTAGATATTTCTATTCAAGTTCGGGGATGGCACCACTGATTTCTACCACTAAGCCACCTGGGCCAATCCTCTGTCTTTCCACTAGCTGCCCAAAGCTCCAGGGACCAGATCATTTTGGGTTCCTTTTCACAAGTGTCACCAAATGGGAAATACCCTATTCCTTCTCCTTGACACACACACTTGCACACCCCTACTCCCCCAACACACACACACACTCCCACTCCCATATACATGCACGTACATGCTTTCAACTCATTTTTAAAAATGTATTTCTTAAAAAAAATTTGTATTGCTATTTCCTCTGAGCATCCAAGCTAAAGGAAACAAGCCCGACAAGTTTGGCAAAGTTAATGGGTTAAAGAAATTCACAGGGTGGTTATCATACTTATTCTTTGTCTTAAGTGGTATGGGCACGTTTTACAAAGAGGGTTCTGAAGGCTTCTCTTGTTCTTATCGTGATAATCAGCCCATCCCTGTCTTGGTTGGACGCCAGCCTGAGTTGTTCAGAATTTACTTTGCACTCTATCTGGGTTGGTCGCAGAAGCTGGCTATCATGAGATCTTATGTCCTTTTAAAGACCACAGTTCAGGGACGCCTGGGTGGCTCAGTGGTTGAGCATCTGCCTTTGGCTCAGGTTGTGATCCCAGGGTCCTAGGATCGAGTCCTCCATTGGGCTTCCCTGCAGGGAGCCTGCTTCTCCCTCTGCCTATGTCTCTGGGTCTCTTGTGAATACATAAATAAAATCTTAAAAAAAAAAAAGATGACAGTTCAATTTCCTTTTGATGTGGAAGGTTCCCCAGTGATCTCTAAACCTCTCCAGTGAGAGTTTGTTGCTGACTGTTTTCATTCTTGTTTTGTCTTTTTTCATTTTTCGAAAAATTGAGCTCCTCTTCTCTGCCAGACTCACCCACTTTTAGGAAATAGTAAGAGTCCCACCTCCGTGGAATGTGCATTTGAGGGCTGGCATAAGAAGCAGTAAGTTGAAGAATGGCCAGAGCAAGGAGAGCAAGGAGGGAGGGCGCATTTTGACCAGGGTGATTGGAGAGCGTTTGGGGAAGGACTTGACATCCAAGTGAGAGCATGCTCTTCACTGCGCCTGTCTGTGGCCTTTGGTAAAAATGTTCTCAACTCAGGCCTTGTTCTCTGCCCTATTTTGTTTGTTTGAGACCCAGTCTCTATCTCGTTGTTAAGGCTCTTGCTATGTACAGGTGTAGTCTGGCTGCTGCACCTTTTGTTCTAAGCTAATGTTAAGGGCCCAGTTCTCACCAAAGCCTCTCATTACGGGAACTCATCTGCATTTAATCACTGAAATCAGGCTTTTCTGATCAGGTAAAAACCCGGTTTTACCTGGTCTACATAACAGCCTTCTCATTTCTTGTCACTCATCTAGAGCGATAGCTCTGACTGGAATGTAAATAACCCTTCTCCTGCGACCATGGGCCCCATCCAAGCTCCATATTATGGTCCTACATTAGCGTTGTTAAAGGACAAAAGTATGGGGATCAAAGACTTGGATTCTATGCATGGATCTGCTGCATCTTACAAAGAAATATCTTTCAGCTTCTTTTCATTTATTTAAAACATAGGGACAATGGCTGACTCAAAACATTTTCGAAGGAACTAATGGCATAATATAAAAGAGCACGACGGCTAGCATCTTGAAAGCTGTCTGTATTTACAGTCTCTGTTTAACCCTTAACTTGAATACATATGTCTCCACTCCTTTTGTAATAACTTATTCGTACTGGGTCTTTATCTATCCTGGGAGAGACGGGTGTCTGTGCTACAGTCTGAAAAATGAATACAGGTTAATCAAACAAGAAGAAAGAGAAGAAGTGTTTCCTGGGCAGAATAACAGCATTTGCAAAGGCTCCATGACTCAAGGATGCCTAGGGCATGCGTTCCAAAGAACTGAAGGCGGGCGGGGGGGGGTGGTGGTGGTGGTAGTTGAGGCTGGAAAGAGAGAGAGAGAGAGACAGAGCATAAGTGACCTAGTAGATAGAATTTAAGATTTGGGTCTTTTTCCTAAGAGCAATAAAAGCAATTGAAGTACCTTAACTAAGGTCACAGCATAATGAAGTTTCCATTTTTAAAAAGACTTCTCTGGCCCTCCAGTGGAAAACTGGTTGGAGAAATTAAAAAGCCGACGTGGGGAGTAAACCAATAAGTCATTTCGATGATCAGGTAAGAGAGGATGGTGGCTAGGATTAGGATGACGCCTGTGGAAGTGGCTCCTGCCCCTTATCACAGGAGTGTTTCTTCACCTGCACCTGAAAGAGAGTCACATGACCTTGGGGCGACCAATCAGAACTTCACAAACAAGACTTGGACTCTTGAGCCAGTGATGCAAGGATGCTGAAGCCTATTATTCCAGGCAAGAGGCTACTGGTGTGGCGGTGCATCTAAGTGTCTCCAGGGAAGGGAACGAGTCACAGCTCCTAGGGTGACGGTCCTCGAGATAAGATTTTCATTTTGTCCTGCCTCTTGCTTCTACTCATATCAGGTTTTCTCTTGTCAAACTTCCTCCGATGCTATAAGCTACCTGTGATCTTTCCAATAATATTTTCTTCTGCTTATGTTACCCAGGGATAGTTTTCATTGCTTGAAACAGAGAAAAATCAGTTAAAATTCAGTTTCATTAACATGTTTAAACTATCTCCCAGATGCAAGACTACGGACTAACCACTCTCCCTTACTCCCATCACATAAACCAGCAGCAAGTTCTGTGGGCTCACCTTCAAAGTAGATCTTAAAGCTAATCATGTCTCCTGATAGTCAAAGCCACCATGTCTTCAATGGACCAGTAAGGGAGCTTCTTTTTCTGCTCTTGTTTTTTTTCTTTTTCTTTTTTAAGATTATATTTGTTTATTCATGAGAGACAGAGAGAGAGAAAGAAGCAGAGACATAGACAGAGGGAGAAGCAGGCTCCTTATGGGGAGGCCAATGTAGGACTCGATCCCAGGACCCTGGGATCATGAGCTGAGCCAAAGGCAGACGCTCAAACACTAAGCCACCCAGGCATCCCTCTTTCTGCCCTTGTTGTAACTTCAACCTACTCTTTAAAAAATAAAATCAAAATGTGTCACTCCTCTGCATAAAACCCTCCAGCATCTTCCCATTGCAATTAGAGGAATTTGCATCATCTGCATTGTGTACAGAGCAGATACCTCTGACCTCTGTCTACCTCTAGAAATTACCTCCTATCATTCTCCTTCCCACCGTTCACTCTCTAGCATCACTGTATCTCCCTCTTGCACTAACATACAGGTCCAAAAATTATAGTCTAAGGGCCAGATCTGGCTCACTGGTCACTTTTGTAAAGTTTTGTTGGAACACAACATTCAGACTATTACTTGTAAAAAATTGCCTCCAGCAAACTTACGGTCATGCCACCACTGCAGACTTGAGTAGTTGCAACAGAAACAACTTGACTCACAAAGCCAGACTATTTATTATCTAACTCAGAAAACGTCTGCTAAATTCCACTCGAACACAGGGGATAGTCCTGCCTCAGGACCTTTGTACTTCCTTTTCTGCCTGTGTGACTTCTTATCATCTCCGATGTCACCTTCTCAGAGAGACCTCTCTGATGAGGATGTAAACTAAAATCTTCCCTCATATTATTATTTTCTGTATCATAAACATGATTTTCATTTCAAAACGCTTTCCACAGACTGATTGATTAGTTGTTTGTTGGCTGAGTTGCCCTATGGAATAGACTGTAAGCCTCATGACCAAAGATCCCCTTGCCTTTTTGGCCACTGTATCCCCAGCAGCTAGAGTAACATGTGGCATGCAGGTATTCACTAAGTATACAATGGAGGAATGAACTAATAAATCCTTCAGGAGACTTTAGTCCTAGTAAAAGAATCGGCATTCCTAGAAGTATTAAAACATCAATGCTGACAGTTCTGCAAACATCAGCTCTCAATTCCTTCCATTTATCTTGCCTCTCCTGTGTCCTGGCTGTCAGTTCAACATAGTTTAAAAAAAAAAATCATACTGTACTTCAGGTTAGCAGCTTCCCTAGAACTGCAGATCACAGTATGATAATGCCCGTACCTATGTTGCGAAACTGGAAATTTGGAGTTGGGGAAAAAAGAAAAAGAGCTTGGCACTGAGGAAGTATTTAGTAAAGTTTATTAAAGCAAAGTTTGAGTGATTAGAATGTGTTCTCCCAACACTGATGCATGTTATTATATTGTCATTTTAAAGATATGTTCAAATATAATACATATCATACTACTTAATTTGGCCTGTTTCTGGAGTTAAGTTGGCATGATGTGACAACAGTCTTCGAGTCTGATACAGCCTCTGAGCCAGAAACTCCACTGATGGCAAGTTATCCTAAAGAAATGATCATGGATGAGCAGAGCCACATGGCTAATTTGTACAACTATTTGTAGTAGCAGATTTTGGCCAAGTCCTAGCCATCTAATAAATGTGGGATTGTTTCATAGGTAATGGTACAATCATAACATTACTCGTTATTTTTAATGTAGCCATTAAAAGTGATGGAGTAGAATGAGAAACAATACAAAACGTATCATCTGGTAGAAAAAAAATAAAACAGGGCTTAAAAAAAAGGGCTGTAAAACAGCTTGTACAATATAATTTTTTTTATATAACAGAATGCTATACAACAAAATGTTAATTGTAACCCTCTCGGTTTGGTATGATTTTTTTTTCTCTTCCTTTTTCTTCTAGCTGCTTGTTTATGTTTTACAGTGAACATGCATGACTTTAGCAAAGAAAGAAAAACAGGTATTTTCAGTTGGTACTTTGAAGTGTACCAATTCTGAGGCTCCACAAAGGGAAACAAACCAATAGCAATCTAAAAGCATTTATTAGGGCCTTTAAAAGGCAACTAT